TTTTTTTTTTTTTGCTGAATAACATCAAGTGCTGAATTCACTCACTTACTTTGTAAGTATATTTATTTAGATTGTCGTCCTGTTCTTTCTTTCCCTCAAACGCTACTATTATGTATGCAACTGAGATAGTTGCAGAACCTAATCAATTAGCAGAAGGAAGCAATAACTTGGTGTCTTTATCAGCATTTTATATAAGAAAATCTTCTTTTAAAAAATCTTTACTCTCGTTTTTAACGCTTTGAATAATTATATATACGATTCACATAACGAATTTACTACAACGCATAAACTATTTTGACTTCAAAACATGGCCTTGAGTTAGGTAATCCAGAAATGTAAGCGAAAGGAATGGGCGAAAACTTAATATAGATTTGCCTACGAAAGACATATTCAGGAAGAGATAATTTGTTTTATAATAACACCCTTACCTACACATTAACAGCGTTTTTATAAAGATAATTTAAAACTATAAACTAACTCCACTGCAGGAATGTGCATTTTTAATATTATATCCATATATGACACTTAACTCAATAATTGAACGTGTTATGTTCACATATTCACATAAACGGATTCGAAACAAATTATTGTCTTATCGTTTGCATAAGCAAAAAGGTTATCAGAAGAAGATCTTTCATCATTAGAGGTCTCTTTCTCTTCCTCATATACATCCCTCTGCCCGCCTTGCAGATACTAAAAAAAAAAAAGAAAAATGTCATCGTTGTCATTCCAAAACCATTCTTAAACTAACATTTTCGTATGAGCCGTGGAAAGGCAAATTTTCAATATCCACATGCAGATATTATTTATAGGTAAAAATATTTTGTCAATTGTATGAAATTGAGTAAAAGAAAAATTAAAAAAATGTTATGAGGAAAATAAGACGATTATGCCCGTGTAGTAATGAAGATATGAAGAGAGAATGAAAAGAATAACAATAAAGTATAGTTGTTTGTTCGGGCGTCGAAAAAATGCTACGTAAAAGATCAGATTTGACCATAAGCCATAGAAAAAGATTTACAATAATTTGCAAATTTTGGCAGACATGGCTTTCATTCGTTTGCTTACCAATATCAGCCGAAATTCTTCGGGAAATCATGCGTTAAAAATTAATTTTAACTTACGTGAAGTCAATCTACGCGTCCACAGGCTCCTTGTTGTTTTTCTTTATAACTGTTTAAAACAAATAGTGAGACGTTCTAACGCTTTGCAGTTTTTATTCTTCAATTGCAGAAAAATCAGAAAGCATGTAGAAGATGTATACGCATTTACTTCGTTTTATACTAAAAGAAATAGTTTTCTCCTTTCTTTCCTTCCTTATATATGTAGATATATTATTAAATCCTTTTTTTATTTCTCCATATAGATTTACAATTTTTAAGGAGGATTTTCATTCTCTATGTAGAAATTTTAGTTTTTATTTTATTAATTTTCTCTTTTATTGTATGCATAAAGATTTATATTAAATTTTTGATGGATTTATTGTTAAAAGAAATTTAGAGAAGATAGTATTAAATTAAAACGATACTTGAAAGATAATTGAATATTGAATATGTCCTCAAGGCAGGCAAATTAATTTCCTTATTAAATATTTTCCAAATTTATTTTATATACAATGTATCTGTATGTATATCTGTATATATATTTATATATATATATATCTATATATATAGATGTATAAATACATATCTGCATCTGTGAATGTGGACTTTTTTTATTGTTAATTTTGTTCTAAACCAATATTTTTCGGCTTTTGTTTATTTATTTTTTTTTTATTACAATAGTTCTTAATAATTACGATAAAAGTAAAAAAAAGCATTTATTTTCTTTTATTTTTTTTTTTTTTTTGTAATGTATAACTACAATATTACTGTAAGTAGTATTCTAAATATTGCGCAATAAACGTAAATGGGGAAAAAATATGTTAAGCAAAAAATAAAGAGAAAAATACAAAATAAACTTATGGACAAAAAAGTAATAATTAAAGGGAGACATCTTGATGATGGGTGTTGGTTAGACATCAATCCATTGCAGTAATAAGAAAGTTGGTTGATGAAGTTTATTTCTTTTTAAGGAAGAGCAATTTTTTGTTTTTTTTTTTTTTTTTGTGTTTTATTTAAAGGTGGGGGCGGTTACATCTGCTTTGAGTAGGGAGTATAAACTTTTATTTATATATATATAAGTATGCATGTACGTCTTCGTTTCAATCAATATAGAGAAATAATGGGACATTGATTCATCATTTTGTTTTATTTTTGTTTTTGTTTTTTTGCAAAAATGAATTATGAATTGTATTTATTATTAATTATATGCACACGTAGTAAGTAATATGAATAATTTAGTCGCGCGGTTAACTAAATTTTAAATTAAAATGAATTGGGAGAAAAAAGAAGGAGCAGCAAAGAACAATTTAAATCAAAATCAGTCAAGAGTCAACTAATTAAGCTTGTAGATAATTTCAATGATAAATTCGAAAATAGTATTTTCTCTTTCTTCTCTTTTCGTTTGGAATGGTTGTGGTTTAAAAAAAAAAACACTATTAAAACTTTACACATTTGTTGGTGAAGAGTAACACAAAGAAGATATGATGATATATGTTATATATTGTTGTTGTTCCTTGTATCGTCGTCAACTGGCGATATGAATGCCGGACAATTATTATTATTATTATTATTTGTTTCCGTAGCTGATTAATGAAAAATATGCAGAAAAGAAATGCTGTAATAAACAATAGAAGTATAAATTAATTTAATAGAATATATATATATATATATATATATATACAAACATAACCCATCCCCACCGCACCTCTAAAGCAAAGCAATTGTTGCCCGGACCGAATAAAAAAAGAAGTAAATTTAAAATACGATAAGTTTTTTTTTCCTTCTTTTACTACCACAGACTTCATTTAAATATATATTTCCGATTTGAATGTTTTTCTATGCCGATAGTTTATTGTTCACAGAATTATTATCTTTTAACGTAGGGGTTTAGTTTTTTTTTTTTCTTCTTCTTCTTCTTCTTTCTTTGAATTTTAGGTTCAGATGATGGTGGGTATAACTTCTTTTTCTTTCTTTTTTTTTATTCTTCATTTTTCATAATTCACTTACCACAAGAAATTAGTTGAAATTTCTCAATCATGTGATCGTTGTACGAACGCGTAGCATATATACCATGGGAGGGGAGCGCCTTTCAAACAAATTAACACTTTCTCAATTCTGTATGAACATTTACATATATATATATATGCATGTACAAGTATTTTTCATGTATATATGTATATATATATGTACATATATGTATATATGTATAAACGTAGGGAGGAGAATTAAAAATTGATGTGGCTTTTAATTAAAAATTAAATTTAATTTTGTGAGGTTTGTTTATGTTGCTTTTTTTCGTTTTGCTTTTAGTAAGGCTGATGTCTAGGTTGGCGTCCCGTCCCTCTTTGTTTGCCAGATTGGTAACCGCCAGAGCCTTCAACAACAAAGAAAAAGATAATTGAATTAATTAAAAAAAAAAAAAAAAATTTATAATAATTTCAGGTACGATTTGGTTTTTTTTTTTTTTGCCTAAAATTTACATTCGACTAAAAAAATTCGTCTTAAAGAAGCATTAGTTATTAGTTTATATAAATATTAAAAGAAATATATATGTACATAAATCTCGTTTTATAATTAAAAAGGATAAAGGGGATATATATATATATAAATGTATGTATATATATATATATATTTTTTTTTTTTTAAATTTTGACCGATTTTTTTTGTTTTTTTTTTAAATTAATATGTATAAGGGGGAGGAAAATGGAACACAAATTATTGTTATTACCAATAGATGAAATTATTTGATAGGTTATATTAGATTATAACATACTACCTCCTTTGGGACCAGCACGAGGGCCACCAGCGCCGCGACCACCGCCACCTCCACTACTGTAGCCGCTACCGCCATAGCCATCGTAGGCGCCGCCGTACCCATAATCTTTTATTATTATAAAATACGTTATGTTTGATTCGTTTGGCCCGAGAGACACGATCGATTGATTGATTGATTTTTAATTTTAAGTTTTGTTTTTTTCGATTTTTGCATTCATTGCGTTTTTTTTTATGTTAATTATAATTACAAAGAAAAAACACAAGTAAAATGAGTAAAGTACGATTTTTTTTTTTTTTTGATAGCAATTTTAGCTCTACTACGGTCAAAATTTTCAGTGTAAAAAGATCGGTTATATTTAAAAAAAAAAAATGTCTCGGGGAGGTGGGACTCTTTTTTTCTTTTTTTTTTTTTGCAAAATTAATTTAAACATATATGTATTTTGCGCCAAGTAAATAATAAATAAATTGAAATCATATTTTAATCATTTTAGTTTAAGGCTGAAGGAAAAGACAAACAGATTATAAAGACGACAATCTTTTACTTGTTGTTCTACTTTAATCAATTGTTGTGTTGCCTCCTCCAACAGCTCGAGCACATCACTCATTAATTCAACTTATTTGGAAACGATTACATTTATATATATTTCAAGAGGAACACCGGTTTTCCCCGGTTGCTCGCCCGTGCGACTGTTCAAATATGTTCAAACTTGACAAAACCCATTGGCAAAACAAATTAATTGAAAACATATAGACGAATAATAAATGAAAGCGGGCCAACAATTCTCGTCCTTTGGCTACGAAAACGTCAATAAAATGATAATAATTAATAAGAGCCTTTCACAAAGTCTTCTGAAGAATTAAAAAAATATAAAAATAATAAAGAAATAAAAATATCAATTATTCTAGTAATATACTAGAATATTTAAAAGAACTGTTCTATTAAACCTTGATTCATTATAGGACTAAAATAAACTTGTCCTTGAGAAAACAAGGCAGAGTCATATTCGCATCCATATAATCGTCTATTGAGAAAAAAATCTCGGCCGCACAGGAACGTCATACATATTTTCACATTTTGAGCTCGCAAACGGTAGTGAACTGCTAACCCAAAGAACACACGCACATACGCACACAGAGCATTGGTTTGTAAACTTTATTCAAAGCTAAGTATATGTACATTGTAGGATTTAAGCCATATATGGCCTGGATCTTCAACACCTTAGATGATGATTGCATTAAATATTTTCGAAAAATAACGGATCTCTGCAACTGATCAAACAAAGAAAAAGGACTGTATACACGGGGGTCTGCTCTTAACAACCAGCAGACAACAGATGAGCATGCGTAGAGAGACTGTCGTTCTTAAAAACAGTAAGTGCATCAAGAAATATAAACGGATTCGAAACAAATTATTGTCTTGCGGTCGCTTGCACAAGCAAAAAGGTTATCAGAAGGAGATCTTCCATTATTAGAAGCATTTTTCGCTTCCTCATATACATCCTTCTGCCATCCAATTCCAAAAAAAAAAAAAAAAAAGAAAGGGCCTTCATTTTCATTGTTCAAAGACCATTGTTAAACTAACATTTTCGTATGAGTCGTGGAAAGGTAAACTTTCAATATCCACAAGCAGATTATTTAAAGGTAAAAATATTGTCAATTGTATGATATCGAGTAAAAGAAAAAAAAAAATTGTTATGAGGAAAATAAGACGATTATGCCCGTGTAGTAATGAAGATATGAAGAGAGGATGAAAAGAATAACAATAAAATTTTTTGTTTCAGGTGTAGTTTTTTTTTTTTGTTTTTTTTATTTTATTTTTTTTTTACTTCCTTTTTTGTATTCTTAATAAACATAGTAATAAGTATATTATAAAGCAGGCAGCACAGCAAAGATAATCTTTCTTTGCTATATAAAAAAAAAAAAAAAAAATATCTTTTTTCATATCATTGAATAAAAGGAATTTGTCTTGCAAAGATCTAATTGCGTTCAGCATTGCTATAGCCTTTCTTTTCTTTTTTTTTTTGCATAATATTTCTTTTCTGTACAATTTTACAGATTGTTTTTACATAAGGTGTTAGAGAAACCGTGAATGTTACCTTATTTTCCACACAACAATTTCAGCTTCTTTTTTTTTTATATAAATCGGATACAAAAGAAATATATACTTTAAACACAAAAATGTTTCTATATAAGTTTTGCTGGATTTTGTGTGCTTTTAATGTCTCACCTCACCGATACGATTTTATTAATTATTAAAAAAAAAAAAAATACGGTTAGTGTTAATAGTGCGCAATAGACGATTTTCCGTTATATGATTTTTATAGAAAAACAAAAACAAATTTTCTTTTTTTTTCTTGAGTCTACAATTCAATTCGTTTTCTTTCTTTGTAAAAAACAAGATAATTTTTTTTAATTTTTTTTTTATTATTATTGTTATATCATATAGAAAGTGATACTAAAAACTAATTTAAGAAAAATGAATTTTAGAGAAATTAATTTAGTAAAAAAGAATTTGATGATGCAAAAAACTTGTTTAAAAACTACTTTAATATACTAAGATTACAATTACAAGAAAAATATTATTTCAAGGGAAAAAACCGTTAAAAAAATCAAAGCAAAAAGGAAAAAAAACGACCGCTTTTTTTTAGTCATTATCTATAACGAGCGATAAAAAAGAAAATTAATGCATAGAATTCCAAGTTAGATCAAAAACAACTCATTTTTGCCGGAGATTTGTTTTTTTTTTTTTATCATTTTAAAGTCATTCAAGAGGCTTGTGTGAGGCGAAACATTAGAAAATTCGGTATTACAATAATTTTCCTTTTTTTTTCATAAACTTTCAACATTTTGTTGCGTAGAATTTTTTTTTTTTTTTTTGTTATACATAAATACTATTTATTATCCTCGTTAAAAGGCAAAACAGTATAAATCAAAGTTTTTTTATTATTGTTTTTTTCTTATTTCTTCAAAACAAATATTTAAAAATTTAATTGCGCCTTTTTGCCTTTTAACTATAAATAATATAAGTGTTTTTTTTTTTAGCAA